GCATTTTTAGGTGCTTAGAACCCATATAATTATGATCTTGGTCCCTTTCGTTTCTTCATGCATGAGATATGAGGTGTTGGATTATGCAGTAAGTTAGGGTTTAGTTATTGGACCCTTTATACCCTTGGAAAGTAATAAAGTTGGAAGCTTTATGACTTAGGATATTATGTCGGGGTATAGTAGCTGAGTACGTCGGGCGTACTCAGCCTGAGTTGACTGTTTAATGTATCTTAACGGGAATACGTCAAAAATAGCGGAACCGTCAGTCTAATAGATGGTTTGGGACACTAGGTTATGTATCCTAATAAATAAGATTTTATGCTATAGTGATATGTTAGATTTGTATCCTGATATATATGATGTGATGTTGTTATGTTGTAGTGATGTTGTTAGGTTTGTGGCCCGAATACCGGTTATCATCAGGCTTATGGCCTTTGGGGAAAGAAAGATTTAGACCCATTTAGGTGTGAGTAATGTAATTTATATGATCCGTGAGTTTGTTTTTTGTTTTGGAGCCAAGATTTACATAAGTGTACGTTGGGCGTACTAGTGTTAAGTCCAGTACGCGGGGCATACATAGGTATACGCTGGGCGTACCAGAATTACGCATGACGTACTCCAGTTAGACCCAAACCCTAATTTAGGGTCTTAGACCCTATTTAAGCTCCTTAAATCACCACCAAACCTTATTATCTTCGGCCTCCATCCCTCTAAACCCTAGAAATGAAACCTTAGCCCCAATTTGAGTGGTTTTTGAGCTTTTGGTGATATTTCATGTTTTTTGGTGTTCATAGAAGAAGAATGGACTTCTTGGAGAAGTGTGGGATTGATTGAAGCTTTTGGATCCAAGCTTGTTGCATCTTGATCTACCTTTTGGAGGTATAAAGTTTCTATCTCGATGACTCTAGGTGTTAGTTCTATCTCGATGACTCTAGGTGTCACAACTAGCATTCTAGCTAGGAAATTCTGTACTCTTGTAATCATTATCTACTGTAAACTCGTAAACCCTAATTCATGTTATGCTTGAAGTTCAACCTATGGAAAACATCGGGTTTTCCGGGGAAACCAATCTTACTCATTTGTACTTTCAAAAACTCTAATGCAAAACTTCTCATTTTTACACGTTTTGAAATCATTCACGCATATACTTACATGATCATCACAACATTTTCATGACAAGTTTTATTACAGAAAATATCGAATTTTCTGGGTTTTACGAACGACATAAACTATTTTACATCAAACACACTTATGAACTCACCAACATTATATATGTTGACCGTTTTCAAAATAACTTGTATTCTCAGGTAATCATTAGAACGAGGACGCATCCAGTGTGTTGAAAGTTTCTTTTGTAGTTGCTAATCACCAAACACTTTATAATTTGGGATCATGTAATGTAAACCATGTACTTGATGTAAACAATGCCGGTTGTACTATGTAATGTTTGGTGATGAATGTGTTCTGTTTCATGTATATTCATTGTGATGATATTTCAATTTAAGTCACGCGAGCCCTCAGACGTTTCCGCCATCTGGTTCGGGGGTGTGACACTAGGTGTTAGTTCCATTACGCGGGGCGTACTCCCCGGTATGTCTTTTTGGGCCTTGTTGGGCCATTAGACTTCTGATTGTGGGCCATGGTTTGGCTATGAGCCTTCTTAGAATTGGTCTCATGATAGTTTTTAAGCCCAATTAGGAAGTTGGACCATATTGGGCTTTGGGTTGCTATTTTGGTTTTTTTGTGCAATTAGGCCGAGCCTTGGTTTTGGATCAAGTAAGAAAATGGTAAAATGATCTTTTACTCTTTAGGAAGTAAAAAAAGTCCAACGATACTTGAATCCCATAGCCTTTCAATTGAGAGAGTCACTCATTACGGCTAGGCCAATGCCCTTTGGTACATATACGTATACTTACACATACGACATATATACATATACTAATAATAATAATAATTTTAAATAATAATAAAAGTAATCATAATTATTATAATTTTAAGTAATATATGAAAACAATAAAACTAATATTAATAATTATAAATTTAATAATTGTACTTATAAATATAATAATAATAATAATAGTTATGAGAATTGAGACCAATATAAAAAAATGAATGACATTTGACCATTTGCCCGAGGATCTCCTGAATGCGATTCTCATTTTTTTTAATATTCCGTTGAAAATGTGTCGGAAACTTCCAACGAAATACCGACGATTGTTTTTTTATTTTTATTTTTTATTTCGTTTGAATCCAACTTTTACTTCTTTTCTCACTAACCTAACCATTTTTAGACTTCGACGAAAAAAAAGCGCTCAAATATTTAGTGCCTAATTTTCGTGAAATTATTGAAAAATTGAGCCTTTTCTATACGCCTTCTATCTTCTCTTCCTTTTCTCTCAGACATAAAATGTAGAGAAAGCCCTAGTCACCATCGTCTCTGCTTAAGAACACCACCACCGGAGCAAAATCACCGCCGTTATTTTTCACGTCACACCTGCACTTTCTATTTGTCTCTCACGTTGCTCCTATGCCTACTCCATAATCGCCATAGTCGTCTCGGATTGCCATCAACTATTACTCACCTCAGTCGCTCACACCTCCACGCCGTCGCTCACCTCAGTCGCTCACATCTCCGGTGTCGCTCCTCTCAGTCGCTAACACCTCCGGCGTCGATCCTGTCAATCGCTCACACCTCCGACATCGCTCCTATCAGTCGCTCACACCTCCGGCGTCGCTCCCCTCTGACGCTCACACCTCCGGTCGATCCCTTCAGGTAATATAATCAATCACCTGGGTTTTTTCTTGTAAGTTGTCTGCGATTTCAGATTTTTATTTTCATTCTTGTAATTTGTCTGTGAATCAGTGATTTCATTTGTCTGTTTGATTTTTATTGTGAATCTGTGGGTTCGATACATGTTGTTATTATGAGTTTGTTACTTTACAGATTTTATGAGTTTGGTACTTTTGTTACAGATTTGTTGTGATTTGGCTCTTAATTGTGCTCGGAAATCAGATTGGGAACTTATTTTGGTGTTTCAGTTTGTTCATAGTGTTATCCCAAGTACCCAGCTTAGGGTTAAGTGTTGGATTTTAATATTTTGCCCGAATTCCATGTCATATAGTCACCAAGATTTCCAAAAGACGTTGAGCATCCAACTGCCAAGGTGAGACATTTCAAATTATATCTTTTATTTTATTTTCAATTTCTATATAGCTACTTATTACTTGTCTAATTAAATATGTTATTGTTGAATTGGCTGAGCTTCAAGATAAAGAAGTAGTAGATTGCACAAATATATAGCTACGGAAGGTCTTGTACCCTAGTTCATACATTTTTTTTTGGCAAATGTATTAGAATCTTGATGGAAAATGCTTATTAATCTATTGTTTTGATAACATTTCAGAGAGCAAATGATCTTGTTAAAAACAAGATTCACCCCACATCAGTGATAAGTGGATACAAAGTAAGTGTTACAATCCTTGGTGAAATTGCAGTCAAATCTAAAATTTTAATGGTATTAGATTAACTGCAAGATTGAAAATAGGCTCTATATCATGTGCAAATCCAATTTTTAATCTAAAACACCTGTGTGTTTATGTGTTTGTGCAGATCTAATGGTGGTGGTCATTTTTTCCTCCAATTTAGGCAAGCAATGGGCTATTAGATTTGTTTTTAATAGGTAAATGTATAGGATTTTATTTAGAAATGTATATGATTTTATTTAGAGTATGTAAATGTATTAGATTTGTATTTTTATAGGTTAATGTATTGGATTTGTATTATAATAAGTGTAATGTATTGGTTTTGTATTCTTTTAGCTTAATATATTGGATTTGTATTTTGTTAAGAGTAATTTATGGTATTTATGTTTTTGTAGGTTAATATCTTTGATTTGTATCATTATAAGTTAAATGTATAAAAAAACCTGGATTATTTTAAAAAAGATTTTTTTTAAATTAAATTGAAATTTTGTTGGAGCTTTGTTGGAAATATTTTGTTGGAAATATTTTGTTGGAAATAGGTTAGAAACATGATATGTTTGTATTCCGTTGGGAATATTGTGTAAGGAAGCCTTGTAGGAACTTTGTTGGAAATTTCCTACGAAATATTCTGTAGGAAATTTGTTAGAAATTTCGTTGGAATTTTGTAGGTACCCGATTTCCCACGGCCCTTTTCCCAACAAACTGGTTTTGTCGGAACTTTGTACGTAAACCCTGTTTCCTACTAATTACCAACGCAATTGCTTGTTGGTATCCCTCCATTTTTCTAGCAGTGTAACCTTCGAATGAGTTTGGATCCATGTTATCCTGGATATTCCTATTTAAGTCAACTTAATTAAGGATGAGGGTTGAAGAAGAAAACATTTTAGCAGACAGGAGGATTTGGTTTAGGGCATCGATTTCCAAACCAGATATGGATTAATTCAAAACAATTGATTTGTTTGATGAACCTTAACATCGATTCAACTTGCCAAGCCTGATTCAACACCGATTTGCAAAATATCAAACTGATGGATTCTGAAGGTTTATGTATATGATCACAAACATATAGGTTAGGAAGATGACTGTTCTTGGTATTCTTATGGTCTTGGTGAGTTTGTGTTTTTGGTATTCCAGGTAAATATTGATCATGAAGACAGAGGGATATGTGAAAAGACCAAAATACCCTCATGTGCATGACACATGAGGGACATATATAGCGGTCCTGTAGTATGTTGATTTTTCTTTATATGGTTACACTTACATGTATGAAAGTATAATTAAATGGGAGTCCTCAAACACTTCAAAAAAAAAAAATAATAAATAAAATAAAAAATAATTGTATGTACCTAACTTAAGATAATTGTACATATAAACTAAAAGAATCAACACAAGAAAAACCAAATTTATTGTGGAAGTAAGCAATGAAGAAAGCATGAAATATCCATTTAGTAGCTTCAAGGGTACGTACATGAAAAAAACCAAATGCACAACAAGGGTGCTTATTGTAATTGTAAATTCTTACGTATCCGACCTTATTTCCATAGTCTCACATCGAAGAAACTAGATACGATCTTAAAACATATAAAATACATATGAATACCACATTTAGAAGATGAAACGATACGGCCATGCATTTAACAATATTTGTTTCCATCAAACACAACATTCATGCACATATCTATCATATTTTCGGCTGAAGAATGACACCCAAAGAGTCTATATAAGCCCCACACCTTCCATAGAATCCCAAAAACTTACCTTCATTGACACCAATCGAGAAATCAACCCCCGGGTTTGTGCCGTATGGCCCATAAGTGATGACGTTGGTCTGGATGGACAATGACGTAATCACAGTGAGATCGTTAAGTGATCCGACACGTCCACTAATCCCAATGACAAACTCATCGTTAGAGAAGGTCTCAGTCTGAAACCGAAATATAAATATTTTGACTGCTATATTATTAATTAAGAAGGTAACTTCGATACTTTGTATACATGACAGATGTATTCAAAACTTACCTCGTAAGGTGCGCCACCGGTGCCACCGAATGGTCGAGTAGTCTGGGTGCCTTCCTGATTCTTGTAAGTGAAGGAGATGGAATCTAGAACAACTCCACTTCTTACAGAGATCCCGATAAGCCTAGCACCATCAGGTAATATGAATTCCCAGGGTTGGGATCCACCCTTACCTCCCCAAGGTGTAACTGATACGGCATTGCTGGCTGACTGCGTACATATATGGATGCAAAATAAAAGTATATATTACTAAAAGAGTTGAAAGAAACCATGTAAACCTAATATTGCAAATATAACAAACTCTCTGAATATATATGGTGAAAGCGAGTACCATTTTGCTCTGAGTGTATTTTCAGATAAGCTGGGCAGGCAATGTTCACTGAAGTTGTACATCTAACCATTACGTGCTTCACTATATATATAGATAAGATATATACGAGTTTGGGATTGTATAGTCGTCGACATACCATTTTTCATGCTTTAAGTATATTATATTTCACGAGATCCACGTGCTCCAATTGCTAAGGGCTAGAGATGCTTGTTAGAAGAAAATATCCGTTGATACAAAATATTTTCAAAATAAAGAATTTGAGTAAAAAAATTCAATAGGACGCATGTGTGAGAAATCTTTTTACGTGATTGAAAATTTAACGATATAGCGTCATCTTATCGTTTCTGATATTTCCTCAGGCAATTACGACCACAAGAATAATATTTACTATGACTAATATTTACTACCCAAATTATATCGATATTTTGAGAAACAAGTGTCCACACTTTTGTATCTTTGTTTCCATCGCTAGGTGTTGGCCTTCTTTAATATACTGCCTAAAAAAGAAAGAAAAAAAACTGTCGACACTTAGTTTCTTATAAAAATAGGCCTTTTTAAATTCTTTTACAAAAATAAGGTAAAAGCAATTGTTCCCACCAAAAATCAAACCGTTTATTTTGAACTTTCATTTTCAGCCCTAAGTTATATATATATATATATATATATATATATATAATATATATATATATATATATATATATATATATATATATATATATATATATATAGCTAGGTTCAAATGTTTTAACTAAGTATTGTGTTATTGTATGCATAAATGTGGGCCAATCAAAATTAAATAAAAAATTAAATAAATAAATAAGGGTAATTTAGTAATTTGCTTAATAAATTCCAAAAATAATCCCTATAATCATGGTATCTCTCCAGTTTAAATCCCGTTCTCCTCTTTATCTAAAAACTGATTCTAAAAACCCTAAATTGAACAAATCGACACCAGCGACCCTTCATCGTCTTCTTCATAGATCGGGAGAGGGAAGAATCGAGCGATCAAGCATCGAACAGAGGTGGTCTTGGTGGTGGTATTGGGATCTTCCGTCGGGATTTTGAAAATGGAGGCGGTATTGGGATCGTGGAGATGCTGTTTCGATGCAATATACTTGCGTTAGTCGGAGGCGGTTCTCAGCCTCAGTACCCTCTAAATAAGGTTATGATCTGGGATGATCATCAGGGCCGATGCATAGGTGAGCTATCTTTTCGATCGGAGGTTCGTGGAGTTCGGTTAAGGCGAGATCGGATAATTGTGATTTTGGAGCAGAAGATATTCGTATACAATTTCACGGATTTGAAGTTATTGCAACAGATCGAGACATTTGCGAATCCCAAGGGCCTTTGCGATGTTTCACAAGCTTCTGGTAATTTTGTGCTTGTTTGTCTCGGATTGCGGAAGGGACAAGTTAGAGTTGACCATAAAATGTCAAAGAACAGAACAAAAGCTCAAGAACCCGTTTTAAGGTTTTAAATTCATATTTCAATGGTTTTGCTTTCATTTTCTCATATATATTTTAAACATTATTTATCGATTTTGTTGTTAAAGAAGGAAGGTGACATACAATATGTTTACAGGAGGCCAGCTGTATCCTGCCCAGGTGATTTTTTACTTGCATTTGGTATTTCATAATTACATAAATTTGTTGCTGGCTTAATATCTTTCTTGTTATTTCAGATCCTGTTTGGCTTTCTGTACATTGTGAATCTTGGAATAATCTTATTCATTTATGTAGATGATTCAATGGATGATATTGGTGAGATTCCAATTCTATTGGAATGGAATGACGAATTCCAATTCTGTTGGAATGGAATGACGAATTCCAATTCTGTTGGAATCACAGAAGTTGATGCTTGAAGAACGGACCACATTATTCTTTTAGAATAAATGACATTTTAGTTTTATTCTTCAACAATAAATGTAATTCTTAACAATTGTTACCCGTATTCTAGAAGAAATAATGTATTTTTTGTTTTTATTCTTCAATTGATTGTTCAAGATTTTGTTATTCTACAAGAAGTTGTTATTCTTCAAGAAGTTTTTAAAGTCATCATCAAAAAATAGGTTCAAGAATATTTTTATTATTTATGGTTCAAGAATATTTTTTATTTTTGAATATACTCATAAACATATTCTGTCAGAATGTCCGAATTAAAAGAATTATAATTCGTAAAATCGGATTTCTAAAATTAATAGAATCTATGATCCCTTAAAAAATGCAATTTTCCTTCATTAAATCTATATTAATTGACTAAATTACCCTTGTAATTAATTAAGATGATTTTTCAATTATATTTAATTCAATAATATATATAATCACTTTCTTAAAATAAGTAAATTTGATTGGCCCACATTTATGCATACAATAACACAATAAGTACTTAAACAAAATAACCTAAGCATATATATATAGATATATAATATAATAATAATATATATATATAGATATATATATATATAATATATATATATAGATATATATAGTATAGATATATATATATATCGGGAAGAGTTATTTGGAAAACAAAAATACCCTAAAATCATAAAAATGCATAAAAAAAATACTTAGAAATCACAATACTTTTTTTTGAATTTTTTTTTTTAAAAAATCGCAGCTTTCTATACAAATTCGCTAAAAAAAATTTGAATTTTTTTTTATTTTTTTTTATAAAAAAAATAAAATAAATAAATAAATAAATATAAATTTTGATTTTTTATTTTTTGTTCAGCCAATTTTAACAAAAGCTGCGTTTTTTTATAAAAAAAATGTCAAAAAAAAGTTTTGTGATCTCTAAGTTTTTTTTTATGCATTTTTATGATTTTTCGAGTTTTTTTAAGGTTTTTGGTTTTCCATAGAACCTAAACCTATATATATAGTAGATCTATATATATATATATATATAATCTATATATTATATATATATATCTATATATATAGGGTTGAGATCGGTTGAGAACTCATAGTTTCCCGAGAAATAAAAGTGGAGCGTTGGATCAAAAGTAATTCATTAAGTACATGATCGTCATCTTACCAATCTCATTTAATGTTTAATTTTTTTTGTGTTATTTAACATATTAATATAAATGTCTAAAAATTTACATCATAAATCAAATTTTCATATTTTTTTTGAAAATAGTATTTTTCGTTTTTTTTAATGTAGATTTTTCAATTTTTTATAGAAAACATGAATTTTTGAAAAAAAAATTGAGTTTTTTTTAAATCTGCAATTTTTTCAAAAAACTGCAATTTTAAAAAAAAAAACTGCAATTTTTTTTGAAAAACTGCATTTTTAAATAAAAAAAAGTGTAAGTTTTTTTAAAGAAAATTACATTTTTTTCAAAAAAAACTGCACTTTTTTTTTAAAAAAAACTGCATTTTTTTTAAAAAGTAAATTTTTAGGTGCATATGTGCATCTTTTTCAAATGCACATATGTACATTTCTTATACTATAATATTCGTAAGAAAATCACAACAAATTTCATATTTATTAAATAATCTATAAAAATGATAGTACAAGTAGTTTATTCGATACAAAATAAAATATAAAAAATAAAAAATGCTACAAATTTCAAAGCGTTTTCATGTCTTCGTGTCAATATTTCTTTATTTTCTTCAATTTATCATTTTTCACCTCTTCAATATTCACCAAAATTTCTTCCAAATCTACAAGAAAATTTAAAAAAAATTGTTGATGCGAAAGCACTCACAAAAATACATATGTGATTTTCATGTGATTAACATATAAATCACATGCAATTCACATATGAATCACATTTACATATGACATCATATGTAAATCAAATGTGATTTATATGTGAATCACATGTGAATTACATGTGAATCAGATGTGATTCACATGTGAATCACATATGATTTACATGTGATTTACATGTGAATCACATGTAATTTATATGTGAATTACATGTGAATCACATGTAATTCATATGTGATTTACATATGAATCACGTATAATTCATATGTGATTTACATGTGAATCGCCTGTAATTCATATGTGATTTGCATGTGAATCACATGTAATTCATATGTGAATTATATATGATTTACATGTGAATCGAATGTAATTTATATGTGAATTACATATGAATCACATGTAATTCATATGTGATTTACATAGGAATCACATGTAATTCATATGTGAAGTATATGTGATTTACATGTGAATCGAATGTAATTCATATGTGAATTACATGTGAATCACATGTAATTCATATGTGAATTACATTTGTTTTACATGTGAATCACATGTAATTCATATGTGATTTACATGTGAATCACATGTAATTACAACGTTGAACTTTATATAAATTTAGCTAAGTAAAAAAGAAACAACCATAGTTGTCCATCTTTAAGTGTTGAACTCATTAAGCCCATTAAGTAAAAAAGATAACTGTCCATGAGTTGTATTAAGAAAGAAAATAGAGATCAAAGATTCAAATCTACTTTCAAAGTTATAAACCAATTTTAAATAAGATATTAGAATCCAAGAGAATATAACATGACTCACCATAAGTTGACTTTTAGTAGAAAGTCGTCCACTGCTACTCTCATCTAACAAAAATAACTTGTATAGTGCTTTAGGATCCTGCGTAATTTTCAACCAAACCAACAATTGACTAACAAATTGGATTAAATATATAAATAACAAGAAACATGATAAAATTTATATTGAAACTATATGATGATTTAGCAAGTTAAAGTTTTGGAAATTAACATGGCAGACTATGTAAAATAACTATGATGATTTAGAAAACTCTAAGGTTGAAGTTTACACATGAATTTTCTATTTGATAATTAATTTAAGTCTCTTACAACTTGATATAAAATGATAAATTTATAAAATAGTTTAATAAAAAAATGTTGGATACAAAATAATGACAGAAATTCTAAAATACTTGCTATAAAAAATACAGTTGATATAAATATATAAGTACCAATATATGTGAAAAAATGTAAAGTTATAAAAGTAAAACATAGTGGTAAACAAATGTTATAAAAGTAAAACATAGTGCTGAAATAATTATTACCAAAAATCCA